GTAAGGTTCAATGGCATAGCGTCTCATATTACCAAGGCTAGGTACTCAAGGTGTGCCCACTATGTGGGCTGTGTACAACCTTCTCTTGTAGTTGAGCCTTGATTGCCATTGGCATGTCCAGTGTTAGCCACTGCCTGTGTTTTACCCAGGGTCATCCAGCATAAGCTACAAAGCGATCTGTAAATGGCCACTATTTGTGCAGGTCTTAGAAATATTCTGGCAAGGCCAAGCTATGAACCAAGGCTGGTTGCTGCTAGTACCAGGCCTGGGGCCACTTATCAAGAGGAACAGGGCTTGCTAAGATCAGATTCTGCTTTTTGAGAGAGTTTAGAAAAATATGAAGCATGGACCAAGACAAGCCATTTGTATGGTAAAGCCACTGGTAACAACTTAGATGGCTCTGAAAGTTGGGTGGCGCAGAGCCTCATGGAATCACCAGGGTGGGGCAAACAGTGTGAGCCAGGTTGATGGAGTGTCATATATGGCACCCACCTGTTGGTTCTTTGGGCAGAGGGCTCAGAAAAGGAACAATGGCTTCTGCCAGTACTTCTGTCTTGGAGAAAACTGCCACCGACTCTCTACCTGATGCTAGACAACTCAGTTCCTCCCTGTATGTCTCTGGTGCTTTTCAATATGCTGCCCCAACACTGGAGGTCAGAGGAAGTCAGTCTGAGTAACTCCATCTGTGGACCCTTTAAGAGGAACTGCCTGGGACTTCAGAAGTTTCTGTCTTCTACAATCTCAGTCCAAGCTGGTTATTATAGCCAAAAGTTATGGGGACTTATCTTCCTGGCACTGGAACCCTGAGCTGCAGAGCCTGTTGTAAGGCTGAGATGAGAGTCTTCGCTACTGAGATATCCCTCTTAATTGTTATTTGGCACCCATGGGCATGGGACCAGCCCTTTCTGAGTCTCTGCCCCTCCTACCAGTCTCAATTGGGTTTCTTCTTTAATTCTGTAAGTAGTAGGACTTCCACTCAGCTTTATTTTCAGCAGTTCTGAGTGATGGTTGTTCTATAGTTTAGTGGTAATTTTGGTGTGGTTGTGCAAGGAGGTGAACCATGTTTATCTATGCCTCCATTCTGACTGGAAGTAATGATAGGATGTTCTTTGGTCACTGTTATGTATTTTATTATGTTTTTAAAGTATATATGAATGAGAGATATAATATTTTTTGCATAGGTTATTATATTTAAGTTACTCAAGTTATTTATGCATTATAGTAGCTAATGATTTAGTTTTTTAAGTTATTATTAAATAATAATATCATCTACAAGTCACCATGTATTTTATCCAACATCATCTCTTAATTTTGCTTTATATCTGTTTGTATGTTTTAGCATTCCAAAATACATGTTATAAAATTACGGTAAGAATGAATCATATGTTTTGTCCTTGTATGAAGAGGAATTCTGCTAATATTCCATTATTAGATGTGAGGATGGATCTTGGTTGTACATAGCATCGGAACATTCCACAGTATTTAGCAGGCAAGCTCTTATTCCTGGTTATTTTAAAAAAGGATTTTCAAAAGTTTTTTTAAAAGGTTACTTAAAAAGGTTTTCTAAGGAATTAAGTGCTGGATTTTATTCATGTTTTTAAATTAGGAATATTTATATTTTTATTACATAACATGAGCATGTTATTTATTAATAACTTCCAAAGATAATTTTATTTTCCTGGAAACTTATGATAATTTCTAGTCCTGAGATGCTTCGCTTGTCTCTCATTCCAGATATCTTGAGGCCATCCCTCTCCTCCCCTCTCCCTATCTTTCTCATAGATTTGTACTTACAAAAGTATATCGACAGGCTTTATTTCACATTCACCAAAGACAGCACCTAAATTGTTTATTGTTTGGAATTGTTCTTTCATTTTTCTTAAAATAATATTCTTGGGTCTCAACCCTATTTAAAACTTATAAAGGACAGAGGACCCACTATTATCTCCCTGAAACTATACAGAGAGGACCTTATAAGGTATAATAAATATCAGGAGGTAAATCAATACTTATGTAATATTTATTGGTATGTAAAATCTTAATTGCATCCACTGAGTCAATCTAGCAGACTAACTGTTATAAAGATGGATCATAGCTTTGGCAAGAGTTTCTTAACCTTGGTATGATTTTAAGTCTGTGTGGAGGCCCTGGACATTGTAAGATGTTTACAGAATTCCTGACCCCACAACCTGAGACAGAAAAATATCTTCAGACATTGCAAATGTCCTATGAAGGTAGGATGACCAACTGTCCCAGTTTGTCTGGGACTGAGGGAGTTCTAGGACACAAGGCTTTGAAATTTGAAACTGGGAATGTTTTTGGAAAGGATAAGTTGTCCACCCTACTTGGGAGACAAAATTGTCCCCCACTGAGAATCATTGGCCTAGGGGAACAGAGAGCCATCGACATACAATGAATTCCAAAAATCATAAATACTATTATGGAAGCCCACCTTTAGAATTCTTAAAATCCAAAGAAAAATACTCATTTTCACTGACATGGAAGCAAATGGGGTAGACTTTATTTTAAAAAGGGGGCATTTCAGGTGGTACCTAAAAGCCTGAGGGAGGTTTGAACAGGTGAGGACAAGTAATCCAATTGGAAGCAACTGTGCAACAAATGGATGTAAGACAATCCCAGGATGCATGAGCTGGTATAGGGAGTAGGAGCAGGGGGAAGGAAGGGGAAATCCAAAATAAGACCAGAAAGATAGGTTGGAGTCAGATCTCAAAGAGATTTACATCTTAAATAACAAGAGAAAACAACAATAAGTAACACAAATAAGAGAAATTTTTCTGCATTCTTTACTGATATTAAAATTTAATCAGCACAACCCTAAGTGTGGACAGTATTATATCAACTTTTCCCATGAGAAAATTGAATGGCACAGAGAGGATTGCTGGCTTGTTCCAGTTGAAAATGAGAATCATTACATCTTTTAAGTAGCAGAGTGACAAGAACAGTTATGAACTTTACAACCAGCTCAGATGGCTCTGTAATGTCAAAAACCCTAGCTGGTAACAGTGGCATGAGGGATATATACTTTATTCCCTTTTCCCCCCATTGCAACCCTCTACTTTCCCTCCTATTGCGACAATACAGTTTTTGGAAAAAACCATAACACAGTGAGTTTACAGTCTAAATCTGCTGGACAGTGGAAATAATTCCATCAGCTCAATAATTTTAGTGCTATGGTAGTGCTTGGTGAATGCAAAGTGCTTATGAGAGAGATCGATCACTTTATCAGCAAGTATCAAAATTTTAAAAACACGGGGGGAAAGGGAGGCTAAAGTGCCATGGAAATAATGAAATAATGACAAATTTATTTAAGCTAGCAATGATTAGGTGTTTCATGGCTGGTAATAAGTTCCAAAAAAAAAACAACCCAGGAAATGCCTTATTACTTCCCTTGGAAACAATGCTCTTCAGATTTGGACAAACCATAGAAGATGAAGAAACAAATCTGTTATGATCCCAAGGGGAGGATTCATATAACATGTCTTTCTATTTTTAGGTTGGATGCCCTAATAAAATGGCCTTTATGATACTCCCATCTCTTCAATCTTAACTCTTCCACAGGAGCCTGTCCCTTGTCTCATTCCTGATAATTTATTAATAAACCACCACATATAAAATGTTCCTTAATAAAACACCCAGGCATTGTGGACTGCCTAATGTAGTTAATTTACTCAGGGCAACCAAGATTCATGTAGAGATGGCCATATTAGATTAGGGGAGAGATTAGCATCACTCCTGCCATTCCCTGAAAAATGCAGCTAAATACGCTGTTCCTCACTCACAGAGCTGAGCTCAGATGATTGCTTTCAATGACCTGTCCTGAATTTGCATGCAGTAATATGGACTTCCAGAAACCAAAGTTAAAGCAATATTAGATGGAATCTAGAAAGAATTCCTGTGCCTTCTCTCTGTCTCCATTCTTCTCACCCTCCACCCATCCCAAACTCACTACCTTTTGGGGGCAGGTCCAGGAGTGGAAGTATAACTGACTAATTTGTTGAAAAAAATTTAAAGAGTAATAACTTCATTTTTTAAGAGGAAAAAATACAAACAAGCAAACAAACTTATACACACATACACACGCGCACATTCATCAGAGTTTATTGAACTAGTTAGATAGAAGGAGAACAATGCTGGACTGCTATTTTTTGGTTAAGCGAGCACTCAGAATCATTAAATTCCTATTTCTTTTCAAGCAGAAAATACCATGATAGTTGGCTACTACTTGGAAAAAATAAGAATATTCTTCTCTTTAGAGCATATGTTTCAAAATGTTTCAGAACTGTGGAGATTGTATGAATATTTTTCATACATCATATCCATACTTGGCAAATCCCTCTGGTGCTCTGCCCGCTATCTTTCTCCTTTCTCTGTCCTTAGATGGACAAGGGCAAAGCACTGGTTTGAGGCACATACCAATCTTTCTGCTTGGCACCAATCCTAATGGCAATGTAACAATATAACAAGCAAAGTCATTTGGCATAATGCACAATGCAAGCAAATAATACATTTTGCTAAAAGAATGACTAAATAACAAAGCAGAGTTTAACAAAGCTGACTCATTTCTTGAGGGGTCTATATTCAATCTAATTTGCATTGTTGGTATTTGGCAGCTGCACTCTCTTCTTTCCCAAATCCAATAATGTTGCCAAACTGGCGGCTTTGCAATAGCTAAGGGAAAGATTATATGCCTATCCTCTGGTTTTCCCTTTCTCTGTGTAACAAATTCCAGTGTTAAGCCAATAATATTCTACTAAGTAAGAAAACATAAATATCAACCTGAGTAATTGGTTAATAGATAAGTGATCAGCTAGACTTGTGTATTCCTATGCTGGGGTATGATTTCCTTGAAGAATAACAAAGACAAAATAAAAGGCTATAAAGTAAATTGATTCAGAAACTGACAGCCAGGGGAGAGGGAGGCTATAATTCATCCATACTTTGTCTCTCTTGTGGGAATCCTCCTCATTGTCCAAGCTTACCTTCTCCCACTGTGGGGTCTTCTTTTTCTGTCTCCATCTGTGATCCTTGGTGTTTAGATGAGACATGGATATAATTCTTTTGATCATTAGTCTGGGATTCAGGAATATTTTCACTTTTTATTTCTAAATTAATGAGAGAAGTGAGTGTTACTTGTTTTTTTCAGAATAAAATAACATTTTTATTTGTAAATGGGCCCTATTGAAATGTTTCTCTTATATGCCCCCAGAAAATGACTGTGAGATACACGCAATAGAATCCATATAATGAATTTAGAGTTTAAGGAAGACAGAAATAAAATTCCATATGCTGATTGAACATGTGAAATGTGATTAATTCAAATTGAGATGTGCTGTAAGTATAGAATATACACCTAATTTTGAAAAAATGTAAAATATATATTTCATATTCATACCATGTTGAAATAAATTTTGATATATTTGGCTAAGTAGCTTCTAGAAGTTTACATTAGATGCTTCACACTTTTGGTCATGTTATATTTTTATTGGACAGAGCTGGCATAGAATGTGCCTAATATTTTTTTAACCTTCTATTCTGAAATGATTATAGATTCACAGGAAGTTGCAAAGACACATGGAGAGAGAACAATATTATTTTATTCAAAAGTAATGAATGTTAATTTTAGCAACTTGAAAAGTACCAAAAATATGCAGAAGGAAATACAAATTACTCATACAGAGCTGATTACTATACACTTTTCTCCCCATAATGGTCCTCTTGATCTCTTTATATATATATTTTTTTTAAATGGAAAGTTAAGAGTCTTTGTTCAGGCAGGAAAATATGAGAATTTAAAACAAAAATGTTTCCACAGATATTGAAAAGTTCAAAGAACAAAAAGAGGACAGTGGGGTCACTGATATATTAGCAAATGCAGAAGAACCTTCTCTAGATCTAGGGGAACAAAAAAGAAGAAATGATGTGAATAGAACTTAGTTGGAAGTCCCTCCAAGGCTGGTAGGTTATTTATAAAAGGGTGGATGAGAATTAAATTACCTACTTCACAGTATCATATAAAATTAAAAATTATGAAAAGTCTTTGCTTTCAAACCAGAAAACAACACACACACACACACACACACACACACACACACACACACACTGAACCTTAGATTTGAAAATAAAGATGAAAACCTGCAGTTCAGACAATCAGAGGCAACAACACAGGCTGAGGAGATCTTGTTCTTTTTGAGAAAGACAAGTCCTCAAGCTTCCTTGTAGTTTGTCCAGGCTCATTGTGACAGGGAGAGAGGTAGGGATGCTAGGCCGAACTTTGGTTCAACATAGTGAATCTTCTAGTAATGGCATTATGCATCTTCCTTTCTCCTTTCTTTATCTTGACTTTCTGTCTTTGCCTCTTCTCATTTTGCCTCTTTGTATACTCACTCTTGTCACTTTGGTTTCCTAATATCTCCTAATACCATAAGTTTCATCCATTCCTTTGATGAGGAGTGTCATGTGGGTGGAGTAAGGAATTTGCCTCTGTCTCTCACACACTCTAAGAACAGAGTAGGAAGACAGAAAGAAGTCTCTTTTACAGAACCTCTTTCCTTCAGTGATTTTCCATGTCTCCAGCTTAAAAAAAAATCTGATTCTGGGAAAATATCTAAGAATATAGTTTCTATGCTCTCAGAGAAAACAAAGACAAAACACCAAGCATTTTCTTCCTTCTTCTGAAGGAGAAGAGGACATTTCCCCCTGATTCTTGAGCTCACCTTTTGGAGGGTTACTTGGACAGCAACACATAGAGTTTCAGAGAGTAAGATCTAGAGCTAAATGACCTGATTTCTTTCTGATTGTGTGACCTTGGGGCAAGTTACTTAGCCTTTCCATGCCTAATATAGACAGAGTATTTTGTACTCACTTCCCAGGGTTGTTGTGAAGATTAGATAAATTCATGTATCCAAAGTACTTAGAACTTGGTCCACACTGAGTGCTCAATAAATTTTAGCTTTCATAAGTATTGCAATTATTATTTAAGATTAGGCAATCCTTGTCTCTACTGTATGAACTGAGCAATTTAGCTCCATGTGGTTTTTATGGGAGACTCAAAAGTTGGAAAATGTTAGTTTGAATAACAGCTAATAAGCTTAGTAATCAAGAATGTTAAAGCTATTGTTCCAGGAACTGAATGTATGACCCACCCTGACTCCAGGAGACCATAAGCAGTTCCACCTTTGTGCTTTGGGAAAGCTGCAAGTAATTCAAGATGGTATCTGAGTTTTTGTACTCCAGGATGAGAAGACCACTGCCTAGGACACAGCTAAAGACCACTCCTGAGGCACAGATAAAGACCAGCACCCAAGGCAAGAGTGCTGCAGGTTTTTTAAAATCTAATTAACTTTTCCCTGAATTCCAAACCTTTTACCTACACTTGGTTCTCCTTATAAAAAGGGCCATTTAAAAATGGAATTTAAGACCATCTATTAGGGTTACAAACCGCTGTCTTCTCAAATGCCCATCTGAAAAAAGCGCCCATAAAGATTCAATCCCTCTCTCTGCTTATTGGGTCTGGTAGGTGACAGGCAGCATGAATGTCAGCTTTTCTGAATATAGTTTAATATTTTGTAAAAGTTTATAAAAGTTTCTCTTTGGGGGAAGAAAATGATATGTTAATATATTATACATGATGCTATTTTTCCTCCAATGTTTTCATTCAAAAATATCTACATACTTCTGCTTTTGCTTTTCTTAAACCAACAGCACACCAGACAGCACAGAGTCAGCCACGACACCACTGAGCACAGGGAAGCAGACAGGATGACCATTGACCTCTCCGACCTAGTCACAGGTAAGATGGCAAATGGCCTGGAGCGAGCCGTCAAATTGGTTCCTGTTAAAAAAAAAAGTCTCAATAATAACTATTAATAAGCTGCTAAAATATTATTGAAGAAAAATATGCTTACAACACTTAGTAGGTTTAATAAGTATGTATTGAATTAAATGTTTAAATAAATGAACAAAGATGAATTCAAGATCTGTATTACTTAAGAACTACAGGAATCTAATTTCAACAATAATACACAATTGTTCATGCCAATGTCCAATAATGATTAGGAATTCTTCCAATTCTCCCTCTTCATTTTCAGACATACCTTCCCCATCAATGCAAAATTTTAGCTTCATTCTTATGTTCCACTAGTTAGAGCAGAAATGTTCTTAGTTCCAGAATGTGTGAAACTAATTGCTGTGACATATGTATCCTATTTAAAATATGGCATGTAACAAAAATCGGCACAGAGACTCCTACTACAGAGCCAAGAGAATTCTAATGTCCATGCAAATTTTGTTACCTGGAAAACTGGGGGTAGAGCATGGTATATAGATAGAGCCACTTGGCTATGAAAGATGAAATAAAATGGGTGACTTTCTTTACAGAGTGTGTCTAAGAATTTATCTTGAACTCATCCACTTTTAATAGACTATACATTTTGGTTCTCACTCCATTATTACATTTGAAACAAGGCATAAAAGAATCTAAAAAAAAAAAAAGCCTTGCCTATACACACAAAAATCTGTACACAAATATTTATAGCATTTCTATCCATAATCACCCACACCCAGAAACAACCCAAATGTTCTTCAAAAGGGGAATGAAATAGTCAACTGTGGTTCATCCAGATGATGAAATGTTACTCAATCAAAAAGAGAAAAAGAAGAGGAAAACAAGAAGGAAGGAGAAGTGAAGGAAGTGAGAGACAAAGGGAGAGGATGGGAGGGAAGGTATGAGAGAGAGAAGGGAGGAAGGAAGGAAGCAAGGAAGGAAGGAAGGAAGGAAGGAAGGAAGGAAGGAAGGAAGGAAGGATAAACAATGTGAAAAAACTGGGATGAACATCAAAGACATTGCACTGAGTGAGGGAAGCCCACATCTGAATAGAAGATAAGGCATGATTCTATTTATATAATATTCTGGAAAAGACAAAACTATAGTGATAGACACTAGATCAGTGGTTGCCAGGGATTCGTGGTGGTGAGAGGGGAGGAGGGGAGAGCAGAGGAACACATAAGAAACATTTCCGAGGGAAATTTTTCTGTATCCTGACTATAGCAGTGATTACATGAATCTGTACATGTATTTGAATTCATAAAAAGATATACCAAAAAGATAAATTTTACTGTACTTTTTAAAAAATATGACAAATTTAAATTTGCCTATAATTTGGAAAGTAATAGATACATTCATTATCTTTGTTGTGGGGAGGGTTTCATTCATCAAAACTTATCAAATGGCATGTTTTAAGTATGTGTAATTTATCATGTCATTTACACCTCACAAAACTGAAAAGTTAAAAAAAATCTTGCCTATGATATGAGTTAGTTATAGCCAGCATTTTAAAAGTATAAATGTAAAAAAAAATAAAAGTATTTTATTCAAACAAACAAATCAATCCCAAGTCTCTGCATTTATCTGAACCACTCAGGCAATAACAGCTTTTATTTTCTCTACTCAAGAAAACACCATGTTTTTCTTTGCTGTGCTTTTCTTGGGTTAAACCTGACAATTTGATTGAAAGCCACAGTCACATCTTTAGTCTCTTGACTCCTGGCTGACTCAGTCCCAAAGCTACCATAATAAAATTAGCTAGAAATGGTTCTACTTGAGACAACCTTGGCTTGTTTCTTATCAATTAGTTTCTTTTTATGTGCATCTGAATAAAATAAATATAGCCCGGATATGGGGGAATGGATTTTACTAGGGGTTTGCAGAAGTAAAAACAAAATTCCTCATTACTTTTATCCATTTTCCAATGATTGCTCACTGATTATTTACTTTGCTTAGTGGATAAGTTATTGTTCTCATTCTTAAAATATTTATGAGCTAGTAAATGAAATGAGATACACATACAAATGTTTGCAATAAAAATCAGGATGTAACACATGCAACTGGAATAATGCAAATCAATTGCTTTGGAAGAATATTTTTTATTGATATGATCAGAAAAAAGCATACCCGCAGGAGGGGGTATCTAAGTGGGACTTTGAAGACTGAATACATAAGACAGAGAGAAGAAAAGATCAACTGATGTTTAGGAAATTAATGCTGGAAAGCATTTGAGACAAATTTTGCTGGGTATTAAATGTCCATCAAAAGGACCTTGACTATACTCTGAAGGCAATGAAATGTTATATAAGGGAAAATTCTGAGGGCCTGAAGTCACAGCGACCAGTTTACAAGCCTAGATCAGTGACCTGGGTCTAAAGGTGGAGACCAGCTGCTTTTGAGTATTTTTAGCAGCACGACACTTACAAAAATGCAATCTTAGACATAATCTCAATATACTTACTTATTTATAAACAAATGTTTGTGCGTATGTGTGATGGTTTTCTACACCCTGGGAATATAATGCCGAACTCAGCAGGATTCCTCTGTGTTTTAGAACTTAGGTTCTGATGGGGCACAAGGCACACAGGCAATAGACAAACAAGCAAATACAGGGATAGTCTGATGCCAGGTAGTGGTGTGTGCCATGAGAGAGACAGTGAGCTTGGAAGACAGAATGACTGGAGGTGGGAGCAGGGTGGGAAGGGTGTCGTAGAGTGCATGATGCAAAGAAGGCTTATCCGAGGAGGTGACATTGATGGAAAACCTGAGCGAAGTGCTGCGTGAGCCATGTGAATTTCTGGAGAAAGAGTATTTCAGACGGGACATGGCAAGTACTGTAGAGCTTCTCTGGATTAGATGGCCCAGAGGCCCCTGAGGACCCACAAGACCTCCATGGCTCCAAGAAATGGCTAGAAAAACCACGGCCTAGACCCTGTAGTGAGTGAATGTGGAAAGCCTGGGTGGAATGTCAGTAGTATAAACTTACAGAGAACTTCTCTCTTGGCAGTATCTTAGAAAGTTCAGAAATAAATAAATGAGCTGGATTAGTCAACATTTTAGAAAGACTGATGAAGATTCCATACACACTTGGTCAGAACAATTTAACTTCTCAGTTCCTCAATATCTGTATTTCTAAAATAGGAATGATAATTTGTTCCCCTTTGTATTTGTTTCTCTCTCTGACAGAGAAGAGGAAAAATAACAAAACTCACTGCAAGTTTTCTGCTTGATTCATAGATGAGTGAAACAATAACAACAACACAAATGACTGCTTGTTACATCTATGACTTTAGAAATAAAAAAAAAATTCATTGATTGGCCTGTCAATGTGGGGAGGAGAACTGCCTTCCGAAATGATTCTAGCACTAGAAACTGATATAGTTGGAAACAAGGAGTTACTCTCAGTGTCTGTACTGCTAATCAACATGATGTTAAATTGAAAGACAATGAGATATTACCTTCCACCTGTCAGAATGGCTACCATCAATAAATCAACAAATAACAAGTATTGGCAAAAACGTGGAATAAAAAGAACCCTTGTACACTACTGATGGGATTGTAAATTAGTGCAGCCACTACAGAAAACAGTATAAAAATTCCTCCAAAAATTAAAAGATGTGCTGCTATATGATCCAGAAATTCCACTTCTGGGTACTTACCTGAGAAAAACAAACAAAAACACTAATTTGAAAAGATATATTTACCCATATGTTCATTGCAGCATTACTAGTAATAGCCACATTAAAGAAGCAGCCTAGGTGTCCATACATAAATGAATGGATAAAGAAATGCGACATATATAATAGAATACTATTTAATAAAAAAGAAAGAAATATTGCCATTTGCAACAACATGGATGGATCTGGAGGGTATCATGCCAAGAGAAATAAATCTGAGAAAGACAATTATATGACCTCACTTATATGTGGAATCTAAAAACAAAAATGCATAAACAAAATAAACAGAGGCTTATCTATAGATACAGAGAATAAGCTGATGGTTGCCAAAGGGGAGGGGTGGGGGATGGGAATAAAATGTAAACAAAACAGAATGTGTTGGCAATAAGGGTCACAGAAGTGGAGGCCTTTTTACACTTTCATTTTATCTTCCATCTATTTTCTTCTAATTTAAACTTTTGTAATCTACTTCTGCCAGAGCCCTACCTCAGACTTAATCTTGAAAATTATGAAGAAAAATTTAGGGCAAATGGCTAACGAAAAATGATAGTTCCTTAGTAGTCTACAAGTTATAGGGGGAACCTAAAATAAAGTAGTGGTCGGGTCAATGTGAACACCAAGCTCAATTCAAAATCACAAGTGTTACTGACAAGTTTGAGTTACACCACATTTTACATTTTGTTTTATAACTTATTCCTTAAAATAAGCCTGGTAAAATATTGAGTCTTAGGTCACCACTGAAAACATCTAAGGACACAAGTCTTTAAGACCAAATATCCAACTTCACATGTGTTACCTCCAAAATATATCCTTGGGAACCCCTTGGTCAAGGACACTGAACATGTTTCTGGATGAACCTGTACTTAAATTAGAATGCCTTCATAGATATTAAAATAATATCTGTCTAACATAATTAATAATAATAATATCACCTGGCCACAGAAGGTATTTCCTTGGTGAGGAAAAATGATCCAAAACTTGGAATTAAGGGGAGAAATGATTACAGATCTCATCAATGTCATACTGGAGTATTTTCAAATTGGCCCATCCATGGTTTATCCAATTCTCTGGACCATAGCTTTCTTTAACTTAATATTTAATGTTAATTAAGGATAAGGCTTAATTAATACAAGATTGGTAAGCTGCAAATGATTTTTTTTCCAATAAAGATGCAAAGAATATCTGTAGACATCTAACTTCAAAGGTTACAGTTTTATTGCCCCATATCCAATTTAACAAACTCATGTCAGCAGCTTTTTCCTGGCTGATCTATAACCTTCACATGTTATTTAACAGCTTCGCCTTCCTTCTGGTTCCCTCATTATGGGTTTAATAACTTGTTGACAAGTGCTCTTTATATATTTTTATGAAAGCCACATTCTTTAGCTTTTTGAAAAGTATGCTATGACAATTGGAATTTAAGTTTCATGAGGAAAGACTAATATCTGGCTTTAATTAAACATTTGTTGTTGGGCATCAGATACCTCACATTAAAACATTTGGTTATCTTTGTTATTTTCAATATCTGAGAGATTTAAATCCAGTAACGACTGCCCTGATGCAGTTCATAAGACTTTGTATTGTCACACTGGTACATAAATTACTTAAGTATCAGACTAATTACTTTAACCAAAATTGATACTTCATTACAAATTTCTAGTTTTCATTCAAATGTGATATTACTACTTTTAAAATTCTTTTAGGTGGAATTTTGTTTTGGTAAATCACAATAATGCATGCAATATTTAAACATTTTTTTTCAAGTGGGTCACTCTGCTTTTATCAGTGCTTTAAAAAAGGATGTCAGATATTGGCCTCTCAGCTCTACCCTTCATAGAAATGAGAGGGTGGCATTTTACATAGTTCATCTGGCTTTGAAGTTTAACTAACACATTACCTGTTATAAGCTTGTTGAATAGTGATTAGTAGCCTTAACAAATCAAAAAATTTTCAAGAATATTTCAGAAGGGAAATTTCTTTTTAATATGGTTTCAATTAGAACTGGATTATGTAAGTAATTTTCACATACTTTATACCTATGATTCTAAAGTACCAGGATTCTAAGTGGGCATAGTTGCTATTTGTGGGGTTAGGGGCAGTGGGTGAGGAGGGCAGAATTGGAAGATAAGAAGCCATAATATGCAATATCCCAGGGCATTCTCTTTATAAATTAAAATTACCTAATTAATATCCAAATAACTGTTCTCAAATGTCACAGAAAGTTTTTTTAAAAGTAGAAAATTGTCAAAGTAAATTTTAACAACTGGAGGAAAATGTACATTTGGATGCTTGTTTACCGGGATTCTCCTGAGGCTTAATCTCTACATGTGTTCTTGCTTCTCACACCTGAGTAATATAAACAAGTGATGTCGGTTTTCTTCTATATTTAGATGACTTTTTATTCATGACAGAAGCTATTTCTATTATAAAAGAGAAGGGGTTATTTTTAATAAAAAAAACAGATAATAAAAACACATTGTGCTGAAATTACCTGGAGGGAAAGTGACAGTAAAAATAAAGCGCCAATCTGACCCAGAGATCAGAACCGCCAAGTCAGAGAAGCTCACATAACCATCCTGAGTTTCTGCCTGAGTACACCCTGCAAACAAACACGAAAATGAAAGTGTTAGTCATCTAATCAAGAACAGTCTCTTCAAGTGTTCTCTGTAGAGGGGCAATTGGACAATAAAGGAAAAATATATTTTTTTAAAGAGGTCACTAAACCCATCAGGGTTTTCTTACACAAGTCTTAGAACCAAATAATCTAAGGAAGAATAATAATAACAGCTAACATATGTTGAACCACATATTAAGTATCAAACTAATTTCTCTAAAATTGATACTTGATTGTAAATTTCTAGTTTTCATATATTAACCATATATTAACCAGACACTATGCTTTATATATATTATAAATGTATTAGAAATAAACTACACAAAATCATTTAAAATATGTTATTATCTATATTATTTAGAGATAAGGAAATAGGCTCATAAAATTTTAAATTACTTGGTGCTGGGGCTATAGCTCAAATGTGCCTAATTTCAGAGTTAGCATTCTTAACCACTACTATATCTTCACTACTTCATTAGTAAATATCTCTTGAGAAAGACTATCGTCTCACTAGGTACTATTGTCTTTCTAGGTGGTCAGTTTATAATGTCTGCCTCTTTTCTATTCAAAGGCTCTGTAGTTCATGTGGGTGCAGAGTGAGGCCAATTGACTAAGAGACTTCAGCAATACATCAGTTCATGACTGATAAAGATTTAGCAACTTCAATTGCCTGGACCATGGCCTCCCTGAATAAAATGCAAAAACAAAACACCTGACATCTTCTAAAAATAAGCCATCTATTTATAAAGTGAAAGAAGATGACTTAAGGCAGGCTCACATTCACATTACTATTAATTAATTAGTCTTTTGACTCCACTATCTTCAGATTAGTTTGCTAATTACCAGCTGCTACATTTCACTCTGGAAAAGTCACTGTGATTGGTACGATGGACAATAAGTTAGGAGAGTGGTCTTAAAGTTTATAAGTTGGTTGGAGATCTTTAAGACTGAAGGGTATTATAAAGATATATATATATATATGCTTAGTGTTACATTTTTCAATTCACTTGCTCAGTCCTTTTTTTGTGAAAACATTGTCTTTCCTCATCAATTTTGCAAAGCTAACTAAACTTCCTTTTTTGGAAACATATTTTCCTTCGTCTCTTCAGAGTTCCAAAATAAATAAAATGCCCAGAAAAATGGAAATAAATAAGCCAAGACTAAAATAAATGATAGGCGCCCAAGATAAATGCAGTTTATACTCTTTAAAACCTATATGCATCAAAATTATGGTCAATAAACTCTTGCAAACAATGAACTGCAGAGTACAGATGTTCAACATGAAATCGTTTGCTGCAGTTTTTCCTTTGACAAACGTCCTTATTGTTCCCATCTTTGGAGGAATACAAAGCAGCATTTAATCGAAATGTGTCCGTGGAGCACAGTGAGTCTGCCTCATAAACAGCCGCCAAACTGCCTAATGGAAAGTGCTTTAGCTCCAAATGGGTTTGCTTTTGTGTTAAATACCAGCTTGCCTCAGAGATCTCTACAAAGATTCCCATATATATATCTATGATATTATCAGATTTGAAGCATATGTGCACAAAAGCCGAGGCAGTTGCTGCCAAGTACAGTATATTACTCCAGGGTTCATCATATCTCTGGAATGGTAATTGTAAAGTATACAAATGCCATTGACCGGTTCCCTGATCAAGCTGGTATGAACAATGGACTGGCTGAGGGAACTTGGGGCGAGATGGGGTGCTAGGCTCGTGCAAAACTGAAATTGATGACATGACTTGACAGGGAGTGCTACTTGAGAATGTTTTCACAGGGCACGTAGTTTCTCAAGCACCTCTTCAGCCCCAATTCTCTGCCACACCATCTCTCACCCTAGCAGTACACATGGGCAAACTATTACATCATTCATGTTCAGACTTTATTTTTAAAAAATACTAAAATATTTTTTCTAATACTAGGATCTATTATTATCAAAGAATCTGAAGGGCCCTTGAATAATAGCCTTCATGTATATAAATCTGCTTTTTTTGGTTAATAATCTCTTTTTTCATGAAGAAGATCTACTAAGACAAAAGAACATCAAGTTAAATTGCAGAATAAAAAATTTAGGCCAGATATATAGGTATAGTTTTATTGTTATTTTGCTTTTTTTCAGGAAATACTTAGAATAAGTTATACAATCCATCCCAAATGGATTGGCATTCTTTCTAAAGTTAAGGAGTATTTCAAGATTGTTTTAAAAGATACTTTCAATCATGTGAAATGGGAAATCTTGGTACTGTGGCATTCTAAAAACAGAAAATGACACAATATTTTTTCCTACATGACATACACACACAAAACTCTGTGCCTAGAAGACAACCTCACCCTGTTCCTCATACTTTCCCATTGAATCTCCCAAGGAGAACAATGGTGACAATACTGATCTAGGTGAGTCACCTCACTTAGCACGAGTTGGTGTTAATAGAATAAAATAGCAGTTTCATGCCTCATTCATTATGCATGGTCACAATACAATTCTAAACTAGTCAGTGATCAGATCCTTGGGATGTGCCTGACAGAAAAATAAGGAAGGACTTTGGGGGTTATTAGGAGGGGGCAAAGTAAAGCATGGAGTCTAGGGAAGGTACAGTATAAAAGTAAGGTATAGAGTACAAATAAGGCATGGAATACGAGTAAGATACTGGATATAGGTAATGTATAGAGTACTATGAGGTACGACTAAGGTATAGAGTATGAGTAAGGCATGAAGTGTAAGTAAGGTCTGAAGTATAGGTAAGGTAAAAAATATGGGTAATTAAACTAATAGCACATATCAAAATAGTTGATAGTAAGTTTTATGTTCTGTGCATTTTACCACAATATTTAAAAAAATATCAGTAAGGCATGGAATATGAACAAGGCCCTGCGTGTGGGTAAGTGATAGAGTAGGAATAAAGGTAAGGAATGTTGGTAAATTACAGAGTATGGGTCCAGTATGGAGTACAACTAAGGATATGCAGGTAAGGCATGAGGTATAAATGAGGTACCAGATACAGGTAAGTTATAGAGTGTAGGGAAGATATTTATGTGGAGGGGTTTGTACCCCTCCAGAATTCAAATGTTGAAACCTAATCTCCAATATAATGGTATTTGGTGGTAGGACCTTTAAGACATGATTATCCCATCAGGGCAAAATCCCCATGAATGTAATTAAGGGCCTTTATACAAGAGACTCTAGAGAGCTCCCTCACCCCTTCTGCCATGGGAGGACATAGTAAGAAGATGGCTCTCTATGAACCAGGAAGGACATTCCATGTCCTTCCCAGACATGGAATTTTTTGGATATTTGATCTTGGGTTTCACAGTTTCCAGAATTGTGAGAAATACTTTTCTTTATTTATAAGCCCTCCAGCCTATGATACTCTGTTATAGAAGCAGGAAAGGACAAAGACAGATATGTAGTAAGAGTAAGGTATGCAGTGTGTGTATGGTTTGGAGTGTGCATTAAAGTGTAGAATATGGGGAAAGTATGAAGCAGATACAGAGGTGTCCAACATTTTGGCATCTCTGGGCCACACTGGAAGAAGACTTGTCTTGGGCCATACATTAAATACGTAAACACTAGTGAAAACTGATGAGCAAAATAAAGGTTTTAAGTAAATTTATGGTTTTGTGTTGGGCTGCATTCATAGCCATGCTGGAGTGCATGCATTTTGGGGGCCATGGATTGGACATCCCTGATAATAGAAGATAAGGTAGGTGAGTTTCAGTAGGCAGGTGAGGGTAACTGATATAGGTACGTATCACTAGAACATGAAAAAAAGCTGAACATTGATATTTTTAATGCTGTTGTATCGAGATCAGAATTACTGTTGTATCTTATACATTCCTGACCAAAATGCCAGCAACAGCTAAATGGCACTCAACAATGGACAAAATGACATCATCAAAACAAGCAATTGAACATTACCTCATAATGCAGCTTTGAAAGTTTAATTTTTACATTACCCAACCTTAGATAGTTTTGTTTAATTACCTTACTTTCTTAATAATGTAGCTTGTCTCTGAAAATTTGTATAGGAAACATTTTGGGTTGTCTTTTCCCCGGAGGGTTTTAAACCTAAGGAGTTTCCGATTTAACTGCTTGGGTGAAGAAATCACGAAGAAAAACAAAAATATGAGTCAGCAATATGGGTGTTACTTTCACCAAAGTGAATAAAATATCAATTGTATGATAGAAGTATGGAAGATATGGAAAGTCATTGAGGAGACTCATAAAATGAGCAGCACCTTCTGGACCTTTAATATTGGGTTATACAGAGAGAAAGTAGACAGGGTGAGGAGGACAGTAACAAGGCTATAGAAGTTTGGGGAAAAATTATTTTTGTCCACAGGCTGAAAAGTTTTGGTTTCTTAATAAGTAGAGAGAGTAGGAAATTTATAGGCAAAAATAGTTGAAAAGCAACTTAAAAAGAGATAACAGTCAAATTTACAGCTCCAACAAGAAAACAACTGAATGAAACAAGCTTTAAACACTAAAAGTTTTGAAGCTATGAAATATTTAATCATGAAATGTCAGTTGCTGCATCAAGAAAATTTTCAGAAGGGGCTACTTCTGTGGCTCATTCTGTTTTCTAGAAATCATGAGGTGTAGCTTAGCACAAAAACAAAAATTGTAATCTAAATAATATAGCAATTTAAAAAATTGGGGATTAACTTATTAAAAACTATGTTGAATGAGAATTCATTTTCTTGGAAACTTGATCATAACAATTTTATCTCCTTCAGTTTTTAGAGACAGTAACAATGAAAGAATGAAAAACAATATTCTCAGGAGGGGCAGGTATATTGTATGCCAACAATAGAAATAATTTAGACCCAAAGAAATGCAATTAGCAGGAAGGAAAGATTTAGCACTTCTATGATGGACTTATTCCAATACATTTTAGCATTTTCATATATGTTATAAGAGCCACGTGCATGAGCATTGACACATAGCCTGGGTAGAGTAAGAAATAACTGTAAAGCCATGGCCTTCCCTTGGAAACCAGAAACTTTGCAGATAGGCTGATGTTTGAACTGGTAGGTAAGTCATTTACAATTTTGGAAAAAAAACATTACAGACAACCTAAAACCAATAGAAATGCTTTAGCTGGCTTATAAAAGTATAAGAAATCTGATAAGCTAATTTTTTTAAAGAGTTATCAATACATCATCTAATTTTGCTTTTGTTATCTGTGCTTTTGATGTCATATCTATAAAACCTTTCTCAAGACCATTGGTGACAAGATTTTCTTCTATGTTTTCTTCTAGGAGTTTTATAGTATCAGATCTTATATTTAAGACTTTGATCCACTTTGAGTTGATTATTTTTTCCTGTGTGGTATAAATCATCAAAGGCCCAACTTTATTCTTTTTTTATATTTTTGCATGTGAACATGCAGTTTCCCCAGCACCATTTGTTGAAGAGACTCTCCTCTCTCCATTGTGTGTCTTGGCTCCCTTGTTAGTATCAGTTGAACATATGTACCTGGACTTATTTCTGGGCTCTCTGTTGTGTTTCATTGGTCTATAGGTCTGTATTTATGCAAGTACCATGCTGTTTTATTTACTAGAGTTTTGTAATATATTTTGAAATTTGGACAATTGTGGCCTTGATGCCTCTAGTTTTGTTTTTATTTTTCAAGACTTTTTTTGGTTATTTGGGATTTCTTTGTGGCTCCATATGAATTTTCTAATTTTTTATAATTTTATAAGAAATGTTATTAGAATTTTAATAGAGGTCACATTGAATATGTAGATCATTTTTGGGTAGTATGGACATTTTAAACAAAATTAGACAAAATTAAATGGTATAACATCAAACTGAACATCTTCTCCATAGCAAAGCAAACAATGAATAGAGTGAAAAGGTAAACTATAGAATAAGAGAAAATATTTGCAAGCCATGTTTCTGATAAGGGTTAATTTCCAAAATATATAAGATATTTCTATAACTTAATAGCAAAAACAAACAAAAACCTGATTAAAAAGTAATGACTTGATTAGACATTTCTCCAAAGAAACCTTACAAATAGCCAATAAGCATATGAAAAGGTGCTCAGTATGACTAATCATGAGGGAAATGATAATCAAAATCACAACAAGGTATTATCTTATACCTATTAGGATGGTTATTATCAAAATACCAAAAGACAAGTGTTGGTGAGGATGCAGAGAAAGTTGAACTCTTACAGGAACTCTGAAAAACTGCTGGTAGGAATGCAAAATGGTCCAGTTGCTATGGAAAACACTATAGATGTTACCCACAAAATTAAAGATAGAGATATGAACAAGCAAGTTCACTCTGGGCACTTTTGCTAAAGAATTAAAATCAGGATCTCAAAGAAACAGCTGCACCCCATGTCATTTGCAGTACTATTCACACTTGCCAAGATGTGGAAACAATCTAAGTGTCAATCAGCAGGTGAATTGATAAAGAAAATGTGGTATACATGAACAACAGAATATTATTCAGCCTTTAAAAAAAGGAAATTCTGAAATATGTGGCAACTTGGATGAACACTGAGGACAATTATGCCAAAGAAATAAGCCTGTCACAGAGGGACAAATACTGCAGGATTTCATCTATATGAGATATTTAAAATATTTAAACTCACAGAAGTAAAGAAAAAAATGATGCTTGTTTTTATTTTTTAATTTTCACATGCACATGGTCCAGGGAAAGTAAATGAAGCTAAGCAATGGTACTGGAACTGCACAGAAAGGTAACAGAAAACAAAGGCGGAGAGGGGAAAATGAACTTGAGGATTTCCTTTGGGCCAGGTGCTTTGCATTTGCCGTCACATTTTTCAACTGGCTCATTGTTGAAAGCCAGTGTTTCTCCGTAGAAACTACCTTGTACGGGTGACCTTGCTCCCGGGGTCAGTCTATGATACTGTACCAAAAAATCATTTGTCTTAGGGGACATGCTCTTTTATTTACACCATTTTGGGGATATGGTTTGACAAAAATGCACCTTCATCACTCAGAGGATGGGAGGAGCAGTGGAGGTAGTCCCCAAAGAATTTACTGATAACCAAAACTTTCTTTTCATAGACACTGGCATTGCAGGCTGGGTATAGAGGATGTTTCTCTGAAATGACTTCAGATACTGGGTATTGCTGACCTTGCTATGCGTCCCTAATGGCTGCAAACATTTTCTGTGCAGATGCAGTAGTAACTGGTCTCCGAATGTCACAGGTACCTACCTTTTAGCACTGAACCTGATGTTCCTTCCAGAGAAACAGAAACGGCCCAAGGCTCATGTGGCAGCCCCAAGGACTCGACTCTCTGATTCTGAAAACAGAAAAAATAAAAAGGAAAAGCTGGATTCAGAAGAAGATCTGAATTTATCTAAAAAGAAGAAGAGAATTCAGAATAGAATCTTTCATAAAGCACAAATTCAGTACAAACAAGTAAAGGAAGGAAAATAACAAATAAGCATTTTCTTTCTTATGTTAAGAACATATTACAATTAGTGTATTGAGAGAAGAAAAGGACATTACTGCAGAAAACATTGGGCAAGGTGGTTAAGAGGAGAAAGGAAAGCTGAGTTTATAGAGGAGGAGTGGTATCATGTGCTGATGGTTAACAGGGAAGGCAAGGTCAAGAGAAGAAAGCAGTAGAGAGTTGGGTGAGTGCCAGGCTAGATCAAAAGTGACAGTTTCCAAGTGTGAACTTCAGTCTGGTGGCCTTGTCCCTCTGCAAACGTCAGAAGATGCATTTTAAAAATAAAGAGTGCAAAGTAGATTTAATTATCTATTGCACTTAGTTTTCTTCCACGACTTTCTTTAGTAAATATAGAAAGATAAGAGGGAGTTAGAGGACACAGTCACTGAAATTAGAATTAAGCACTGAACCCTCTTGTTAATGATTTACTTAAACTACATATAAGAGAAATCATTTAAATAACATAAAACTATTATGCAGATGTGATGGCACAAATTCCTTCATTAGCATATACAATTACTTCCTCAGATACAGTTATACTTCTTTGAGAAGGCTAGATTTCTGAAAAGGTATGAGAAATCTACTTCAAGAATTTGGTGGGGGAGGAAAAGTTTCAGAATTATATTTCTACCCATAATCAAATGCCGGCCACCATGCAAAGTGGCAGGAAAGCAGGCTGTGAAATGGAAGGACAGTGATAGCTGTAGTGAGGTGTCAGTGCACCAAGTGTCACACAGTGGGCACTCTGAAAATTCGTATCACAATAACGGAACCTACCTGTGTGCTCAGTACCTCTCCCCAGCTTGAGAGGTTGTCACCCCTGAACAAGTTACCTGCTTGTCCAGGAAAACGAGCTGTGGTTGTACTGGAAGTTCTTTTCCCACTTCCCCATCTGAAGGCTGGACAAGGACTGAAAGAGCATAGGGCCGAATATATATCGAGTTCCCAGCATTAAAACTGCTTGTATTTCTGGCACATGTAAAACAAAATAGAATACATTCATAAGATTACACATATCACTGCTGTGGCTATTTCCATAATACATTATTACCCGTGAAATATTAGCCTTGGCATCTAGAAACTTGACAATGCACTTCATAGTGAACATTACCTTAGAGTTGAATAATTACATCTTTATATAATATGTCTGCTTAGCTCTAGTAAACAATGGACTGGGTGTGAGGGGTGGGGGGAAAACCATAAATTATGAACTTTGATGTTTATCACAGTTTATTAATATCAGCCCCAAAAAGCCCCAGTGAGGGAACACAGAGGACAATACTTAGGCAGTGGGATGTGTTCAAGAGTCTAGTAGTCAACCAGCTCTCTCCCCAAAGACCCTGATTGTCAGGGTCGTCCAGTTTGCACAGCATGAGTAGTTTCTCCACGGCTGATCCTGGCACCAAGATGCCATCACTGAGCACCACGAGGAAACGCCCGAGAGCAAGCCCCGTGCAGCACCGTTTGAAGTGCTACAGCTCATTCAGTCCTCACAGCAAACCACCACCCCCATTTATGCTCTTCACAGTGTGCTTGCACTAACAGGTTCAATAACTGCAATTCATTGATGGATTGGTTTTACATGAAAGAAGCCCTTAGGGAGAATAATATTTATAGTGAATACGTGCTGAGTACTAACTGTGTACCAGGTACTCTTCTAAGCTTTCCATGTACAAACTCATTGCATCTTTAAAATGATATTACAAAGTAGGTACTGTCACTTATATGTGAAGAAACTGAGGTCTAAAAAAGGGTAAAGTAACCTGCCAAAGGTTTTACAAAGAGCAAGGTAATGACCAAGGTATAGAGCAGTCATCTAATGAGCTATATTTTTTTCATCCCTTTAAAGTACATTAATTGCTGGTGTGACTTAACAAAAACATGGCATAAACAAAATAAAATGAAATGGTTATATATAATTAATGATACCTTAAAATATCTTTTTTCCTAGAGCCTTGGCATTTTTAATGACTAAGATAGTTTTATTAAAAGAATTACAAGCTCTGGCCAGGTAGCTTAGTTGGTTAGAGAGTCGCTCCAATACACCAAGGTTGTGGGTTCGATTCCAGGTCAGGGCACATACAAGAATCAACCAATGAACGCATAAGTAATGGAACAAAAAAAAAAATCAATCTTTCTCTTTCTCTCTCTCTTAAATCAGTAAATACAGTTTAAAAGAACATTATTTTAAAAAGAACATACAGTTTATGGATTATATATCTTTTGCCCCCTTGATCTTATTATGTATTACACATCATAGGCATATAATAGATTTTTAGCAGTTAAACAAAATATGTAAACAGACTTTATACATCACATATATCCCGCTAATAGGAGTATCCCATGGTGACTTATCCTCAGTACAGCCTAGGTCAGGTCTAACAAAAATGGATTTGATTGCAAAAAAAGAAAAGTAGTCTTTCCTGCCCTCAATTAAATGCTTGTGAGTCAAACACTTTATTCCCTAACCTTTTATTTTTTTCTTTCTTTTTTGAGAAGAAAAGGACAAAGTATTTACATAGGAAGTGTATGTCAGGTAAAGGTGACAACTAGTCCTAAAGAGAGGAAACTGTGGAAGAGCAAATGTGGTGGACCAGGAAATATGACGTTTCTGTAGGAAACAACCTCGCTCTCCCCGGAGAATCCTGGGGAGTGGGCAGAGTCGTCCTAAGAGCACCCCCTTCGGTCATCTGCTAGCTGAGGTTCTGCTGCAGTTGTTCCCTGGGAATCCAGCACATGCTAGCGCAGTCATCACTCATTAGTTTGCTTAACCTGAGTGGGTAAAGCTGTCTTTTAATTTTTTTTAAGGGAATAACTTAAAACACGTTTTTAAAATCTATGCTTTCAATTCTATTCTTCTATGGGTCCCAGGTTATTGGACAATTCTAACGTTGTCACCAGATCTATTTCTCCCCTAACCTGGTTCTCAAATGCTTTCCGATGCAGGACAGGAGTCAGGCTGGCAGTGTGGGTTACAGAAACTGAAAGGGTCCATCAGAGACCCTGACATAAGCACATGGGCGTCTAGAGACGAAGGGACGGGAACCAACTGCCTGAACACCCGCTGAAAGGCCTCTCCCTGACACACTTTAAAGTTTATTGTGAGCAAACATCTCTTATTAAATGTAAACAGCATCTCACTGGAGGTCAGAGACTTGCTGCTACAGCATATCCCAAGGTAATACCACTTTAAGCTCCACATAAACTCTTAAGCAGTTTCTATCCTAAAACCTGACCGTAGGTGGTACAGTTTTTTACGATATGTTATAATAGTGCAATAAATCTGTTAGCTTAAAATCGAATCTCCGTGGCCTTTTAGAGAAATCATCATTAAATGCAGGGTCCTGTTAATGATGCCATCGAAGTGAAATTGTTTAATCTGCTAAGGGGGTGAAAGGTCACCAAATGAATTTTTTATAATACATCAACTTGACACGCAATAGGGAAAACTGTAATAGATAAAAGCAAAGGAAAAGGGCACTGTCTTCTTCTGATAGGTCAATAGCAGCCAAGAGAGTCACTCATCCACTTTCCTTTCACGATGGGGCTCCTTTTGCATTTAATATGGACACCCAATTAATACCTCAGCACCACCGACAACCTCATTTTAGGTGACTTATAGCAATTTCTCCCCCTTCCCTGAAATGAAAGTGATCACAATACATCATAGCATTGTGCGAATTAACGTTAATTGATTCAAGTTACCAAGCAATGATGGGCCACTTATATAATCTAGGCGTTATTGGGTGCTAGAAGGGATGGAGGGAAGATTAGATTCCAGTGTCCGTTGCTGTGACGACGGGAGTCACCTGATGCCTTGTTAGACAGTTGTAAGGTTCTATTGCTGGCCCCAGTGGGGTCGTCAGTAAACTGGAGTGATGTCCAAACATCATTATACGCTGCTCCGATATTAAAGCAAAGGGATTAGCAACTTATTGCAAGCAACCTGGATTTGTCATTGTGCTGTCCTTATCCAATTTCCCACCGCTAATGTGACTGTAGCCTGTGGGCAGAAAGACCTTCAGCCAAACTTTAAAAAATGGGGGAGGAAAGTTCCCTCCAACCCTCCCAGTTCTAACCACTATTTAACAGTTTCCCACCCCCAGCCAGGTATGTGAAAGAATTTTTTTCCCCTTCAAGGCTTAAGTGCAAACTAAAAGAAAGATAAAGAGAATATAGAAATTTCCCAGTTCCCAAATCACCACAATGCACTTCAACCTTTGTTTTTCAATTTGCCAGATCCAAACTGCTTACCCTGTAAAGGGGTGGGTGGAAGCTGAGGAGGAGGGCATTATTTCTATTTATATGGTAAACCCAGTAAACAAATAAACAAATAAATCCTATTAGTGAAAACTCATTCTGGGCAAGACCTATGGGGACGGGTGAGAGTGAGGGGGGTTAGAGGTACTTTTGCACCCTGTCTTTAACATTTGCCTCTTCAAAGTTACTAAGTCAGGTTCCTAGAAAAGATCCCCATGTTTTAATTAAATGTTTCAGGATGTCCTGAGCACTTCTAACCATTGTTAATTTAAATTGGCTAGATAGGGCAGAATCTGTATGTGCCAGGAGGGAACTTGAATTCCCACGGAGTTTGCAAGATTCTGTAGTCTGGAAGAGGGAAGTAAGTTCTCTAGTCAATTTAGTTCAACACACATGTGTTAGCCCTTCTACTGTGTACACATTTTGTTCTAGGCACTGGGAGATATGCAAAGATAAATAAACACCATGAGCGCTGCCCCTCAGGAATGGTCTTTTGTATGATTCACTTTACCAGCTAACTTTCAGAGTCCGTAAGGTATGAATGACTTCACTGGCTAACTTTAAAAATTGACACATACCACTTTACTTATACAGTAGTCCCCCCTTTTCTACAGGGGATATGTTCCAAGAGCCCCCAGTGGATGTCTGAAACTAAGGATAGTACCAAACTCTACATCTCCTATTTCTTTCTTTTTTTTTAATACACATATACCCTTTCACTTACAGGAAGCACTTTAAGGCTTCTCTTTGGCGTATCCAATTTGACACCATCACTCTCCTGCAATTTGGGGTGTTACTTGCACACAAGCCCTGGAATACTGTGACAGTTGATCTGGTAACTTAGAAGGCTACTAAGTAAGTAATGGGTGGGGAATGTATACAGCATGGATACACCAGACAAAAGGGTAATTCACATCCCGGGAGGGATGGAGTGGGAGGGATGGAGTGAGACAGTCTATCACATTACTCAAATGGCACAAAATTTAAAACTTATAAATTGTTTACTTACAGAATTTTCTATCAAATAGTTTTGAACCATGATTGACAGCAGGTAACTGAAACCCCAGAAAGCAAAACTGAATAAGAGGGGAGTACTGTATTTCATAGTGCGCTTGCTTCCTGTCAAGCTTAGCTGGATGCCCTTAGCTGCTGCGAACTCCTAAGAGACAAGAAATGCCTTATGATCCAACTGTTTCCTTCCTGCACTATAGCACAGTTGTTCCAGACTGGGCACACTGTAAGCATGCAATTCATATTACTATAGTAGCACTAAAACAAATCAGTACCCATTATGCACCACGTTAGCTCTGAGGCCATTAAACACCTTTGGAAAGCCACCACCTGTTTTGGCCTGGCTAACTTCAAGTTTTGGTACACTCCTCAATTGGTGTGCTTACTGCTATGCTCCAACACTTACCATGAAACTCTTGAGGTTCTTTGGAATTATTCATTTTGAACTGAGATTTGAGTGGCCTGAGGTGTAGGCTGCAGTGTGCCAGGAGTATATGCAGATCCAGAGTAAACACTACACATTGTCCCGCAAGGTCAATTCAGAGGTCAAAATCTATGCATTTTCATTGGTACATCATTTAAAATAATGTTTTATAATAAATGTAGCATTCATATCTTATCTGGAGTAATGGAAACTCTGAACACATTTTTAAGGTCATGCACAAAATATTCAAAATTTCCTGTTTATATTAGTGTGT